TTCAGCAGGCCCCCCAATCTCTGACCGTCTCCCCCCGTCTCCTGCTCTCAGGGCCGGGATGCTGGGGACCAGCATATTGTGGACGTGGTCCTGAAGATGATGCAAGGTGAGTAGGAGCACAGACCCCGCCTCCTCTCTGGGGACAGAGCGCCCGGTCTCAGCCACCCCCCACAATGTGCCCCGCCTCTGCCTTACAGAGCAGCTGGCGGGTGGGTGGAGCCGGCGTGATGGGGCCGCCTGGACCCCCAGGGCCTCCTGGAGCCCCTGGAGAGCAAGGCCCACACGGGCACGCCGGACCCCGCGGCATCCCAGGGATCCTAGGAGCCCCGGGGCAGATCGGCAATACCGGACTCAAAGGTGAGTGAGGGGCTCACACTGCTGCCTCGAGTCAGGGGGTCACGGGGGGCCAGAGGGAAGGAGCCGCCCACGTCAAGCCCCCTCCTCTCTTGAGTAAAAATGGCCTTTGCCTTGGGGAGGCCGTTTCTGGAGCATTGCGTCCAGTTCTGGACCCCCCACGACAGTAAGGAGGTGGACACACTGGAGAGGGTCCAGCAGAGGGCGACCAAAATGATGTGGGCGCTGGAGCACATGACTTAGCAGCAGAAATTGAGGGATTTGGGTTTATTTAGCCTGCAGAAGAGAAGAGCGAGGGGGGGGGGGGATTTGAGAGCAGCCTTCAACTCCCTGAAGGGGGGTTCCAAGGAGGATGGAGAGAGGCTGTTCTCAGTGGGGGCAGAGGGCAGAACAAGGAGCGATGGTCTCAAGTTGCAGTGGGGGAGGTCTAGGTTGGATATTAGGAAAAACTATTTCCCTAGGAGGGTGGGGAAGCGCTGGGCTGGGTTCCCTAGGGAGGGGGTGGAATCTCCATCCCTAGAGGTTTTTAATTCCCGGCTTGGCAAAGCCCTGGCTGGGCTGATTGAGTTGGGGCTGGTCCTGTTTTTAGCAGGGGGCTGGACTCGATGACTCCCGAGGTCTCTTCCAGCCCTAGGATTCTAGGACTCTATAAAATGCTGGCAGGGTTTGCCCCTTTCCCCCTCATGTTGATTTTTGTTTTGCATTTTTTCCAGAACATACCCCATGATGGGCTTTTCAAAACCATCTCCCTCCCCAACCCCAAACAACCCCTATAAGTTCTACTCCTAGCAAGAGCTGGGGGGTTTATTTTGCTGTGTCTGTGTAAAATGCGGCTCCCTTGGGACAAACACACAGGCTCATGGGCCGATTCCCCCGCTCCTTCTCTCCCATCGTCACGGAGTTCTCCTCCACCCTTTGCCACCGCTTCCCTCTGCAGTCACAAGAAATCTCCCCTTTTTTCACACAGGGAAGCGAGGGGAGAAAGGAGAACGTGGCGAGGTTGGGCGTGGACATCAGGGTATGCCAGGACCACCAGGCATCCCAGGTAGGCTCATTGCTGAAATCCGACAGCTGTATCCCCTGGTTTGGGGACAGAAGCTTAAGAGTACGGAGGCTACTCCTGCAGATGGGAAAAAGCAGTGAGGCCAGCTAACCCCAGTGTTTCCAGCTTTAAGTCACTTGATGCGGATTCTCTTGTCTCCCCTAGGAAATGATTGGTCTCAGTCCCTAGGGTTCACATCCTAGCAGTGCTATAGAGAGTGGAGGATGAACTAGGACCAGTCTTAGGCCATGTCTCCACTTACTGGAGAATCCACGCTTTGGCGATCAATCTTCCGGGGTTTGATGTAGCAGGTCTAGTAAAGACCCACTAAATCAAACGCCGAGAGTACCACCATTGTCCGCCCTCGCTGTTGCAAGGAGTTTCTACAGTCAACCTCCCGCTGTGGGGCCGCCCCAGAAAATTGATGCATGACACATCGACTCCAGCTATGTAATTCATGCAGCGGGAGTTGCATATCTTGCATCAATTTTCTCTGCCAGTGTAGACCTGGGCCTGAGAGCTTCTAATCTTCCTTGCAGTCCTACTGGTGGGAAATACCAAAACTGTAGCTATGTGGCCCCTGAATACATCCAACAAACGGGAATTTTCAGTCCTGATTGGTGGCATCCCTGGCTACTCCAGTCCTGGACTCCTGTCATGCAACTTGGCCAATGCCCTCAATCCTTATTCATTCCTGACCCTCTGCTAGCCTAGTGCTGGTCCCCCAACAGCTCTGCCACTGTACCACAGTCCTGGCCAGCAGCTCCTCTGCTATTCCCATCCTGAACTGCCCTCACACACCTCCCAGTCCTGACCCGCCCAATGACCCCAGCCAGAAATGACCCACCCTCACAGCTTAGCAGACATTGTCTTCTTGCTCAGGGCAGGGCTCAGACATGGGACCCAAAGGAACCCACAAAACCTCCCAGATGCAGATGCCAAGATGCTTGGTTGCTGAAAACTTCACTTGATGTTTCTGGCTAACAATCCCCTGGCCAATGAGAGAGTCCCAGGGCCAGTCTTAAAGAAATTCATTGATTTCAGTGGGCATTACTTGTATCCAATGGTCCCTCTATTTTTTCCCCACCATTTTCATGCAGAATAAATTTTATAATGTGCACCAAGGCATGTGTAGATGTGCACCACGCATGCTACCAGCGGCTGTCAGTGGTAGGTGCTCTGCTAACCAGCGGGGTGGCATTTGAATCTCATCTGGGTGGCTGCCCAAGTGCTCAACTTATAGGGAACATGGCTTGTATGCTGCCTGGGAAGAATCGGGCACTTTCCTCAGGAACAGTCCAATCCAAAGACCAGTGAGAACCTTTCTACTGACATCAGTGCGCTTTGGGGTCAAGTGAGAGGGACCTGTCGTAGGATATACAGCACTGCTC